GGAGCTGACTCAGCATTACCAATATCCAAGAATGGCACTGGGCAAACTGGACAACCTCGTTCACAAAACTAAAGAGGACAACAAAAACAACAGGAAATAATTTTCTATGAAATATAACAACCTTTAATCACTCACCTAGTTGTGATATTTTCACAAAAATGTACAGCCTTAGTGCAATAGTGCAGAGTATAAAGTGTAGATACATTGTTTAAAAAAAAAAAGACCGGTGCATAATCAGTAACAGTAGCAGAGCAGAAGGCGAAGTTTGGGAAAGCTGCTCCTGCCACACCTCTTCAGGCCCATCCTCCAGTGGAGAAGCATCATTTGGTGCTAAAGCTTGGAAACCTCCTCATCTGCGGTCCTTCTTCAAAGACCAATAGCCCATGATGTCCCTCTTCAGCTAAAGTACTTTTAACAAAAAAACAAAAGAGGTGTTAAAATATTGTTCTACTGTTCGTGTTGTTTAGTTTGTCATTAACACTACGACTTTTTGTCAAGTTGAACAGCAGGTGATGAACTTCATGTAGACCCACAACCCATTACACACAACCATTAAACACTAGCTTGCCTTCCAGCAAGCTGCACAGCTGAATGCTATAAGACCTCACCTACACTTCTTACTGTTACTTGTTCAGTTGCACTATCATAAACTTTCAAACATGCCACAGGAAATGTAAACATTATGAACAAAGTTGTTGATACATTTCAAAAATAGAACTCATGTAACTTCGTCTTACCTTTTTTGGATGAACTGGACTGATGTATATAATACTTCTGTATACAAATTCAAATTCCAAGCAACCTTATCCCCCCCCCCACATTATCTTCATTGAGTTTTCAAAATATTTCCAAAGATATACAGAGATAAGAGTGCTCTCGCATCAAAGGAAACTTCAAGGGCAGCTAAATTATTGTCCAGCGTTCAAATTGTCCTTCCTTACAAGTCACGTATGTATGAGATAACATAGAGCAACACTTGGGTGAAAGTACAAAGTACATGACCTGATTAAATCAAATAAACAAAACAAAACAGAACCATAACCAAAACAATAAAGGTTTCTCTGTTTTATCAAGGGATAGCCCAGATTATTTCACTATTGTGCATGGTTCAAAAATATAAACTCAAATGTACAATTCACACAGAATAAAGAAATCAAGTATCAAAAGAAAGGAAATTATTTTAGGAAACTGCAGAGGACTACTGATGACTACGCCTCCTCCGCCACATTCCTCACATTACTTCCCTAACACCTGTGGGTTTTCCTCCAATCGCAAGGTTGGTGGTTCGATCCCCCGCCCCTCCACAGTCAAAGTGTCCTTGGGCAAGACACTGAACCTGAAGTTGTGCCCAATAGCAGCTCTGTCCCCATTGGTGTATGAAATTGTGTGTAAATGGGTGAATGAGAAACACATTGTAAAGCATGTTGGATAAAAGCGCTATAGAAGTGCAGACCATTTACAATTTACTTAAATCCACACTCTCCTTATATTCCATAAAAAGAACCCATGATACCCAAATGTTTTGAAATACTGATAGTTTCCCCGTTCATAATGTAAGTAATCGTCTCCATAGGTAAAGCTGTAGACATTTCCTTAATCCAGTTCATGAATTTTGGGTTACTGGAGAGTGCTATGACTCTTTTTGCAAGCAGTAAACATAAATCCAGAGCAGGGATTATTTTTCTAGACATATGATGTCTATCAGGATATAAACCTAGAATAAACAGTTAAAGGTCAAGAACTAATGTTATACCTAACATTGTGAGTGTTGGAGTGAGGAGTGTTCACTTGTGCTTTATAGAGTAGAGACAACATCAAACTGAGAACAACTTTGGACTCTACAGGTTGTCTTTCATCATGACTCATCCTTTTAAGCTCTTTATTTCATCAGGCAGACCAACCTAACGGACCAATTGCCATCTGATCTTCCGGAAACTCCGAGACCACAAATAAAGTGAGAAACTTATGAGCCTTTGTTCATGACTTTTGTAACATATGGAGTTTTCAGAACTGAGTTCATTTGAGATTATTACTTTATTGGTACCTTGTTGATATCAATAATATATGTCTTATCCAATAATGACTCATAGCCTGTCAACAGTTCTAATCTTGTGTTACCTCATTGTGCAGTTTCAGTTCATCCATACTTTAAAAGGAAAAACAGCATATGTCCATCTACTTTGGATTGTATCTCTCCAGATTTCTTCCACAACAGCTAAAACAATGCACATACCTCACTACTACTCTGCACTGAAAACAAGATTTGCTGTACTTCAGTTTTACAATATTCGAAGCCGTTACCTGCAGTATAATACAGTTTCATTCACAATTGATTGGAATTTGAGAACCAAAACCACCTGTTGAGAAACCGTTAAAACACAAACAGTCCTTGTGCGTTGCCAAGGAGGAAGAGCCGCATCTCCCAGACTGTCCTGTGGTGACAAAAACGGTTCCCAAAAAAAAAGGTAAAGAAAAACTCTAATTCTATGAAGGCATGGTTACAGTTACACTCTCGGTTTCCCATGAGAAACGGCTGGGGTGCAGGCCTCCAGCATTGGGGAACCGGTCTTTCTTTACGCAATTCAGACTTGTGGTGGGATTCCCCCCGGCTTAGAGTTGGGACATCTGCCGGAAGGAGGCCAGCCACAGTGGGGATGTTCAGTCTGATGTCAGGCTCTGTGCAGCAGCAACATGAAGCCACAGGGCAGATCTGCGTGCAACTGCTGGCCAGGGCCTCAACAGTCTATTCACAGGCTCACACACATATAGACCTTCTACTTACTTATATATTCTCATGATAACCTTGGGTCTACCGTCAACAACATGGCTGCAACCTCTCTGATCTCCCACCAGCGAGCAGGCTTACAGCGTATCACCATCTTTCATTCTATTATCACAATGAACAAGTCGATTGATCTTTAGTTCAGCCTCGAGGTTACAGTACAAAACTCGAAACAGAAAAGAGACAAGCTTACACCAGAGCTTCTTCCCTCTGAACTTAATCTTGAGGAAAACCTTGGTGAAGAAGGGAGAGGTGGGGCACCATAGCATTGTGTCGTTTTGATCAGGGGTCAACATGGAAGAGTCATCAGAAATAGACCCTACCTGTCACCTCACATCACAAAAGACACTATTAAAAGTCTGCAAATCCAAGTCTGAATAAACCAGAGTATTAAAAACAGGTAAAGTTAAAACTTATGAGAGGTTGGCTTCTACAACAGGACCATAATCCAAAAAGATCTCAACATCAACCATCAACTGCTTGAGGAAACACAAGCTGAAGCTTCTGTTTTGACTCTCACAGACCCCTGATTTGAACATCATAAAAAAAATGGTGACTGGATCTTTAACAGGGTAGCGTGGCTGAAAAGTATTTTAATGTTTAAAGAAAGCCCTATTTATAATGCGTAGCGCTGATTACTGAAGGTGCTTATTCTTTACAAAACAATCGTCCAAAGAAATACGGACACACACATAAATACAGAAACATGGCAAACGGCTTGCAAAGACTTTTACATTGTCTCCTGGCCTGCATTTTTAAAGTGAGAGTTTTACATTATGTTTTTTATGTGTGTATATCTGATTAAAATAGGTAGACTGAGGTTTGATTTAGAGGTGTAAAGATTTACTGATATGAACCAGAAATCGATTTTAATAATATGAATACATTGATCTGCGGGCCTCTGGATCCATCTATTTCTACTGTGGAGCGGTCGATGTCCGGCTGTAAAGTTATGAATCGTTTGATTAGAACTCTGCTACTAAACATGGCCGCTCTGGTCTCACAAGACTTCCGCTGTGACGTATTACAAGAGAAACGTTCGCCTAACGTGTTTGCTAGCAACAACAACACAACAGCATGGCCGACAGCACCAGTGTTCCAGGTCAACTGGCGATGCTTGCTGTATTTACACTCCAGATGTTCTGTTTGCAGCTTCATCACTACCAGACCTGCAGGTGTGTGAAGATGAAGATACTACATGAAGAAGACCTCGCCAAAAAAAAACCACACAAGTTCAGTGAGATGATTTCAGAACTATGTAGTCCAGCAGTAAAAATACGAGTTTGGCGTTTCTACGCATTTGGCGGCGATCAGCTTGATTAGGATCCCTTTCATTCCTATTGATCCTTTCCATTCTGTCAGGTGCTTAACACCTGGTGGTTATTCAGGAAACTCGCCCGATCAACTGCTGATAGTCACAACGTTACACAGACACACGTTGTCTGTTTAAAAATGACAGATAAAACTAAATATTGTCTCACCAAGCAAAACCCACAACACAGAAGCACATTGTGTTGTGTTGTGTTGTGTTGTGTGTTAAGTCTGCACTTTCAGATTTAGAGATCCAGAGCAGAACGTGAAGCTTAGCTCGGATTTGTTCACCAAAACACACACACAGCAGCTTCCCACCACAACAACACAAAGCATAGTTTGGTTTGATAAAATCATCAGAACAAACTGAGTGGAATGTTTTCAGTTTGCAAAGTTTATGCATTGCAGTATACTGAAGGGGTTAATGTTAATATTTTCTCTTATTTACAGCAACAGTCTGTCTTGTCTGTGTGTATTCAAAAAATAAACACAATGACATTGTTCTGACCTGATATATTTTTCTTTAATTATTTTTAACCACACAAATAGAGCTGTATCACATGGCATCGTAATGTGTTAAAATGTATTGTATCATAACCCACGTATCTAGATTCGTATCGGATCGCCTCTTAAGGTAGAGATGTACACCCCAGTCTGATTATTACACCTTCAGATTTTGTTCCCCGAATGTCACTCCAATACCATTTAAAATGCAAGTACAGTACTCCGTTACTGTTTGGATCAGCTTCTACCTGTACTTCAGCTCACAGCATTTGATCTCATAATCAGTCCTCAGTTATAAAATATATAGGTATAAACATGAATATGCAGCATCTTCGACAGACACAATTCCTTGCGAAAAGATCCCGTGCACTTACAAAATTACAAGCATAATAAGACAGAAACATTTCTGTGACAGCATTTTTATTTAGCTGTGTGACATGGCCTCAGTTCACTTACTGATTCATTCAACAGTTTCACAAAAGCCGTTTGAGTCTTGATACTGGCTTACAAAAGCATCAGTGAAGACTACAACACATCATACAGAAGAAAAGGCAACTCAGAGAAATGTAATTCAAATGACTCACAACAATGGCCTCTGCTATCTGTGTGGATACAGCTTGACTGGCTCATATTTTGAAAAGCATAAAGTTTCTGAAGTCCTGTAAGATCACATTTTCTTTTTTTTTTTGAAGTGCATGAGTTTGGAGCTTTCTGATTAAATGTAATGATCTGTATTAGTGGTGAGTCTTTTAGCATGAGCAAATTAACCATCAAGTGCCAACTGAACGAGCACTATCCACTGTTGAAAGCTGTACAGTGTGGTTGAACGCTCTGGGGAAATGATGGTACGATAACTTATTTGAGTTATTTGTCAGAGCTTGTTTTCTAAAGTTGTCTTTCTTAAGATCATGGCTTCACCGTATGTCAGTAAAAATTAAATGATGTAATTCAAAGGATAATCTACATTTTTAGAGTGTTTTTGAGGTCAGCCTCACTGAACATATACACTTGATTTTTTTGCAAATATATTTATTGATAACACTTCCAACAGATGTGTAAAAAGAGTTATTCAAACCCCCAAATCTACACACCTTTCCAACTGCACTGCAGACAAATGTAGCTATGGAAAAAAAAACATACTAATTCTTCTTCCAACGCAGTCACCCAAAAATTGTGTTAAGATTTCATGCACATACCTCTCGTGACTTCTGAACACAGGAGCACATTTCCATTAAAATGTTTAAAAAAGCAATAAACCTTTTGATGCATCATCCATATACAGGATTCACAGAGCTTTATAGAAATTTCAATAACTCTAGGATTGGCTCATGACTGAAGGAGGCTTTTGTTAGTGACTATCAGATAGCATTAACCATTTGAAAGAATTAGTGTTTTGGATTTTGTTGATGTTTACATATTTTAGGCAGTGGCCAGTGCTTGGTTAGTTTGCTTGGCTTCTGCAAATCCTAAAGCAGTTAGTTAGCACACCCATCAAGTACTTTACACTTCGTCAATGGCAAAAACACCAGCCACGATGAACCCCAATGTCCTGCTGTTAAACAGACGTCCTCTGGGTACTGTACAGGTTAATGTGTTATTGTGTACAGTTTCACCCATAAATATGTTGGAAGCAGAGGAACAGTAGAAGACCTGAAGGCAGAACTTTGATTGTTTTAAGGAATGATTATGACCTCACTCCCCCTTGTAGTGAGGACGTCTCTTCTCCTTGAAGGCAGCCAAACCTTCCAGTCGATCTTTAGTTGGTATCACCTTAAAAAACAACACAAGTATATGAGTACCAAAACAAGATGCACCTCTTTATCAGAAGTCTGTACCAAGTCAATGTTTACTCTCTCCATTAACCCATTTTTTGAGGCAGGCCTACGCTGAGGTGTTGAATTAACAACACCTGTAAAANTATAGACTTCAACAAGGGTATTTTTTTTCTATCTTTTAATCATGTAGACTATGATTATGCAATAACATCCTTTTTTTTCCCCCTTCCTGAATGTAAGCAATATGAAGGTCGTTATAAACAGATCAGAGCAAATATTTATGTTATCTGTAAACATTCAAACTATACCATTTAATAATTTGGTAGTTTCATGTTGTAAGTGTATTACACAGTATATATTAAAGCTACGCAATTGCAATGCATTGAATACATTAAAGTTGGACTTAAAATTCAGAATGAACAAAGGTCTCAATTTATATAAACGTCCTAATTTTTTCTTGTTTTTTCCTACTGTCAGCTAGAATTCCCACAAAAAAACACAGTTGAACAATAAATATAAGAGTCATACTGGGTTGGACATTGCCTACGTCATCAGGTGTTGGGGAACCAGCGCAGGCTGATGAGAAGTGGACAACTGAAACAATACATTAATGGACTAGAGCAGAGAATATGGAAGTATTGGAATGCTACTATACAAGCAATCTCAATGATAGGAAGTATATGCCTTCGAAACTCACTTGATATCTATGCTAATGTAGAAACTTCTAGCTCAGTGTTCCAATGTCCACAAACACAAACTGCTATCGCAACTGAAGATTGACGAGGTACAACAAAGATGCTACAGCACGGGGGAGCCAGGATGACAGGTCATGTGATCATCATCCTCATTCTTGGGTACTTTGCTACCAAGCCACAACAATTACAAGCCCATATAACCTTAACAAGAGGGTAGTTGACCTGAGACCGAAGGTCATAACTAAGCTAAATATCTGTAACTACCATTTGCCAAGGTTAGGTAAAGAGTACAAATAGAAAGTCTTTAAGAAGACATGACCATCACTGAGACCAATAGGCTGATGTACGCAACAGTAATCCTACTGATTTTTGGCTACACGATGAACATCATAAGCCATAAGAAGTAGTTTTCCCATGGAGAAGGTGACTGGAGGCCAAGATCAGGGCAACAAGGAGGTAAGTTGGCCAGAACTATAAAAAGGTGTTATGAAGAAAGGACTACCAAGGAAACACTACAAGCTGTTCATTCCTGAGGCACTGGAGACTGCCAAACAAAGGCTCACAGCCCTGGCAACCCATCTGAAGAGGTACACTAGAGAAGTAGAAGGCAGAAGGATAAATAGGATGTTTTTCACTGAACCATCACAAGAATACTCTCAGTGGGAGAGAAATGATATGAGATTAGACCCATCCAGGGCTGAGATTTACCAGAACTGGAAAAAGTATATGGGAGAAGGAGGCTTGCATAACACCAATGCTCAGTTTTGATGGACCTGAGAGAAGACCACCAATCTCCCAGAACAAGACCCAGTGATCATAATGATAGCACACATCCAGGAAAGAGTGTCAAGAATGAAAAGCTGGACAGCACCAGGCCCACACCTACTGGCTAAAGAAGCTAACTGCACTCCATGGATGACAAGCAGCATGAATGAACCAACTGCTAATGGATGGAACCCACCTAGAGTGGTAAACCCAAGGCCAGACTGTCCTGATAATGACGGATCCCCAGAAGGGAGGGACTCAATGTCATACACATGGCTTCTGAAGTGCTTGTAGCTATACAACGTCAACAGGATGCTAAGGGCCTTGATCAAGAATTCAATGGGACTGTGAAAACAACACTAGAGATTAGCATCAAGTGCAGAATATACCAAGGAGATGCTCTGTCCTCCCTGCTGTTCTACATAGGCCAGAAACATCTAAGTCAGATCATCACAAAGAGTGGATTTGGATATTGATTGTACAGAAAAACAACCACAAGCCTCCTCCTCTACATGGATGACATCAAGCTGTATGCCAGAAATGAGTAAGACATCAACTAACTGATCCAAATCACCAGGATCTACACCAATGGCATTGGAATGTCATTCGGATTGGACAAGTGTGGTCAGATGATATCCTAGAGGGACAAGATGATCACCAGTGGAGGGGTTGAACTGCCAGGAGGCAATGTAGCAGATGTTCAGGACACCCTTGATGTTCATACTTTGTACAACCCCCTTTTGCCAACAATTCATTTGAGTTGAGTTGAAGGTTACATTTTTCTACAATTTTCAGTGTGAGAGTATGCTTCTGCAAAAAAAATTGAATTTATTTTAAGGCTTTTAACACATCTTAACCAGGGGTGCCAATAATTATGGAGGGTGCTTTATGTATTGTATGTATATTGTGATATCAATAAAATTTTGAGAAGATACACACCTAATCAAGAATAAATCACATTGTCACAATCATTTCATAAGAGGAGGTAAAAAAAAAAAAAGTATTCCAACTTTATGGCCAACAGTGTAGTTGCTATAATGTTCTTACTCGTGCTTCCCAAAATAAACATTTGAACAAAAATTGAAACTTAGCAGAACACTGAGGAATGTTTGAATACTTAAATTTACAGAAAATCAACTCTTTGCAGTTAAAAAAAAAACTGCATTCTGCATACTTGACAGTCAAGTGATGCAGAGTTTTTAGGTCACACCACATCATGAATGGTACAAGAGGAAACAGTTTTTGGTCTTTGAAACACACAGGAACATGTTACACTTAATGCACTTGACAACTGTTTTCCCCTTGCATCCCTATCTTCCTCCCTTAGTCTTCTGCTCCCGGATGTATTGCAAATGGAAGTCAGTAAGTCCTGGTGTCCACTACAAAGGACATGAAATAAAAACTGTGTTTTGAAAGTTTTAAAATTATTGTGACTTTTAAAAGATCTTACTAAATGGAAGTCTGGACTTTTATTTTAAAGAAACAGCTAAATTTTTAGCAACAGAGTCATGATATCTGGGAAAAAAAATAAAAAAAGAATGATTTATCTCTCTTGTTGGCATAAAATGTGGCAACTGAAATTCTCGTCATTTTGAAAAGACAGTGCATGTGCTGTGTTGGCTCCACACCCACAACTGGGCCATCAAATGAGAGCCTACAGTGTCCTATTTAAGGGACAATATGATTTAGATAGATTCTATAAATTATGCTTGACTTAGAGATCTCAGACTCATGTCCGCCCCCCCAATGATACACACAGGAGTTAGTACTTGATTGCATAACCATTGTTTCTGATGACTGCAGCCATGCGTCTTGGCATGCTCTCCACCAGCTTCTGACATTGTTCTGCTGTCACAGCAGCCCATTCCTGTTGCACACATTCAAACGAATTTGCTTTGTTTTGGGGCTTGTTGTTCTCCATTTTGCATTTGATGATTTTCCACAGATTTTCAATTGGATTTGGATCTGGTGATTGAGCAGGCCAAGGCATGGTTCTGATGTTCTGGTTCTCCATCCAGGCTTTAACTGACCTTGCCATGTGGCAAGGGGCATTGTCTTGTTGGAAAATCCAGTCATTCGAGGCAGGAAAGAGTTTTCCAGCTGATGGAAGAAGACTGTTTTCAAGAGTAGCCCTGTACATGACCTGGTTCATTGGCCCTTCATATAATTGCATTTGCCCTGTTCCACCCATACTGAAACAACCCCAGATCGTCACTGATCCACCCCCATGTTTACTGTAGGGGCAAGACAGTCTGGTTTGTAGGCTTCTCCAGGCTTCCTCCTAACCAGTAAGTTGGCTGGAGTGGGCATCAACTGAAAATTGGATTCATCACTGAAGAGAACCTCCATGTATACATATACACACAGCTACATATACACCCACACATGCACACACATGCACACAGATACACACGCGTGTACACACACACTCTCGCCAGTGATTGTAGGGAGACATGGCATGGCACTGAGGATTGTGGGAAACGCTACCATTGGGGCCGTCCACACCGGGAGGAATCGCAGGCCATGACCGCTGGGGGCACCGGCACCCGGACCCCGACACACAAAGTGACCCCCACATCAAGGTGGGGAGCCCCCCATCCAGCCGCGCCGAAGGTACCCACGGACAGCACCTCCAGCAGCAGAATTTTGTAGAATTAAAGTGAATATTTACTTTTTCCACAGTAAGAAGATTGCAATGAAAATGTGTTGAGTCCAAATGTGAACATGGAGGTGAATGGAAAACCTGCAAACTTTTTTCACACAGACATCTTGATTTTTGTGGTAGGGACTTAATGGGGGCATTTCAATCAGGAGAGGCCCTGCATTTGTGCATGCAAGTTGATGGCTCACTGAAACACTTCATGGAACTATTCATCATCAATTCCACCCAAGCCTTTGTTACTGTGACAAGTCAAAATATCTGCCATGTAAATGATCTATTGAACTTTCTTCAGTTTCTTTTGATGAGTTGTGAAAAACTTCTATATCAGCAGGTGGCAGCAGAATCCAAGTGATGTCTAACTGAAGCCCTGTAAAGAATTTTTAATGTGGGCCAAAGTCTTTTTACATTTTTTTTATAGTGTGTTCACTACCATGGCCTCAGGTCTGTTTTTGGTTGGAACCCTACCTTATTCTATAGACAGATTCTTTATAGAGAGTTTTGGTACTTTTGTTGCATGGCCTTCTCTTACTTTCAGTCTGAAGAAAAAAAAAATGGTACTGAATATCACTATCTGCAGGTCAGAAGTGGAGTTCAGCAGGGCCATCTCCTGGACACAACCATGTTCAGCACTGCTGTTGACGAGGTAATGAAGCACACTCTTGCCTGTGAGGGCAGCTGTTATTCTCTCCCAACAAGTCCTCCAACTCAAACGACCACATAGGTTGTTGGTTCATGCCCCAAAATATGACCCCTGAGAGCGTATTCAGCGACAGCTCCTCCAGCGGTGACAGGAGGAACACCACATATTTTTAGCTACTACACATTGTGGCACTGTGAATGCATTTTGGTTCATATTGGATGAGCAAGTCAAGGAAAGTAGTGACTAAAAATGGATTAATTATTTGATGACTGTAGAATATGCTGTCACCGTATTTGTGTAATGATGTTTCGTTGAGTATAGGTTGGTATCGTACAAGATTGTGCTGTTTATTTTAAGTTTACCATGAAATAACGTTGTATGACATAATCCATTCATCCATTATCTATCCATTTCTATACACCGCTTAATCCTCATTAGGGTCATGGGGGGCTGGAGCCTATCCCAGCTGACACCCTGGACAGATCACCAGTATCTCACAGGGCTACACTTTGAGACAGACAACCAAGCACACTTAATTGTGTGAATTTAGAATCACCGGTGAACCTGGAGAGAACCCACGCTGCACGGGGAGAACATACAAACTCCATGCAGAAAGATGCCGGGTGTCCTCACCAGGATGCAACCCGGCAACCTTCTTGCTGTGAGGCAACGATGCTAACCACAGCGTCACCTTGCAGCCCCCCAGGAGAACTACAGGTTTTTTTTTGCAGAGTACATAAAAAAGCCTCCGGAAAGACCTGGCCAAGGCAATCAGGTCGACTAATTCCATGCTCTCTGTAGCCGTCTCGCTACCTCCGTGGGTTCCCCCCCAGCACAGACACACGAATCGCCGCCGGTCCACAGTCTTTATTTGCCGTACGGTGCCAAACCCGGCACAAAACAAAGAAACAACACAAAGCGGCCGTGTGTCTGCAGCAGCCCGGCTTCTGCAGCACGTGCTCTCCAGTCGGCGTCTTCTGTCTCCCCAACGCAGGCAGAGATCCTCCTCCTTGGCCTTCTCCCTTCTTCTCCCACCAGCACCCTACTATGTGCACAAGCATATCCACAATTAGCCAGAGCAGCAGCACCTGGACCCATCAACTCACCTGACACTAATCTCCTGAGCTCTGCCCCACACCTCTCTCCCCTGCCCTCTGCCACCAATTACACCCATCTCCACACTCTCTTTTAAGTCACTTCTTAAAACACATTTTTTATCGGAGAGCTTTTCCTGATTTTATTTAAGTTTTTAAGTCTTGTGTTTTTTAGCTCCCTGCTTTATGTGTGTGCTTTCTACTTTTATCAATGATTCTGTGTACTTATTGTATTTGAACTTTTAATTTATTTTTTTGTTTTCTCATCTGTTCTCGTAAATGAGTTGTTTGCTTCCACTTGAAGAGGTGACTGACCAAGTCGTGCACATCAGATGTATGGAAGAGGTGAAATTCATCATCATGAAGGAGATGACTCAGCATTACCAATATCTAAGAATGGCATTGGGCAAACTGGGCAACCTCCTTCACAAAACTAAAGAGGACATCAAAAAACACTGGAAATAATTTTCTATGAAATATAACAACCTTTAATCACTCACCTAGTTGTGATATTTTCACAAAAATGTACAGCCTTAGTGCAATAGTGCAGAGTATAAAGTGTAGATACATTGTTTAAAAAAAAAAAGACCGGTGCATAATCAGTAACAGTAGCAGAGCAGAAGGCGAAGTTTGGGAAAGCTGCTCCTGCCACACCTCTTCAGGCCCATCCTCCAGTGGAGAAGCATCATTTGGTGCTAAAGCTTGGAAACCTCCTCATCTGCGGTCCTTCTTCAAAGACCAATAGCCCATGATGTCCCTCTTCAGCTAAAGTACTTTTAACAAAAAAACAAAAGAGGTGTTAAAATATTGTTCTACTGTTCGTGTTGTTTAGTTTGTCATTAACACTACGACTTTTTGTCAAGTTGAACAGCAGGTGATGAACTTCATGTAGACCCACAACCCATTACACACAACCATTAAACACTAGCTTGCCTTCCAGCAAGCTGCACAGCTGAATGCTATAAGACCTCACCTACACTTCTTACTGTTACTTGTTCAGTTGCACTATCATAAACTTTCAAACATGCCACAGGAAATGTAAACATTATGAACAAAGTTGTTGATACATTTCAAAAATAGAAAACTCATGTAACTTCGTCTTACCTTTTTTGGATGAACTGGACTGATGTATATAATACTTCTGTATACAAATTCAAATTCCAAGNCACCTGTAAAATGCAGTTCCAATGCCTCCTGTGTTCAGGGCGCTACTATAAATCAAGTTTGATATAGCCAGGCTTTCTTTGTGTAAGCAAACAACAAAACTTTGATCTTGATCTGTGGCGTATGATCAAAGCTAAAGGTAACATTTGTCACATTCGCCTCACACAGGCGAACACTAAGGATTTTCCTATTGTAGTGGGGACATAGCCATTGACTTGTCCAGGGTGTCCCCTGCCTTCGCCCTGAGTCGGCTGAGATAGGCTCCAGTCCCAGTTGCCATTGTTTTACAGTCACGTCCCTAAATATGTGGACATTGACACAGTTTTCAGCATTTCAGCTCTGTACACCACCACAATGGATTTGAAACAAAATGATCAAGATGTGCTTTAAGTGCAGACTTTCAGCTTCAATTTGAGGGTATTTACATCCCAACAAGGTGGATGGTGTAGGAGTTACAACACATTTTATATGTGCCGTCCAATTTTTAAAGGGAACAAACAGATAGTAAAAGGGTAATCTCAGCATAGCAATGGTATGAGAAACCATGGGCGTGGACTATTGCACCAAGTGAGGCTGTGTATATTGAGAAGAGGAGGGGACCGAGCACTGAACCTTGAGGAACCTCTGTGGATAGGCTCTGAGGTTCAGACACTCCTCCCCTCAAGATACTCTGAAATATCTCCCTGAGAGATAGAACATGAACCAGCGGAGGGTAGATCCTGAGATGCCAAGCTCAGTGAGTGTGCAGAGGAGGATTTGATGGCTAACCAATGAAAGGCAGCTGACAGATGTAACAGCAATAGAGCGCAAGACTGTCAGCAACTCTAGCAGAACACAGTGATTCTGTTACACATAGGAGAGCAGTCTCGGAGAGTGACTGTTTAAAACCAGACTGATTCAGGTCATATTTCATTCAGCTGTGTAAAGAGGTGACTTGCTCAAATACGCACCTGGGCATAGCATGCCTCTTCAATTGCCAGACCCGTAGCTAAATCCACCTGCAAGAGAATGTGGTATCTTTCAGTGAAAGTTCACAATGCAGCAGAAAATGTCTAGATTTTGCATGTGACTCTGTTTTTGTGTTTTCCAACTTTTAGCTTTATTTCATAGGGTTTACAAAAAATATTGTTTAGGAATCATTTCTTAACTATTAAGACTTTTTTTTTTTTCACAAAATTCCCCTGCTTTAATAACACTTACATTGACCTGCTAGCTCATATTTATTACATCAAATCAAGAAGTGGCAACAAGTAGCACAGAAACACATTTGAAAAAATTCAGGCATCAAGAATGGAACTGGGGACCATGCATAGTCTTGGTGGATCCCTGAACACTTGTCTTTCTTGTGGTTACTCTGAGGGCAGGTGGCATATGGGTCATTTTGCCTCAATTCACCAAGTGCCCCACGCCTGACCATCTTCAATGTGACATTTTTTTTTTTTCTCTAGGTGGACTCGCCTTTCCAGTTCAGTGGCACAGGCTCTCTCAGGGAGGCTGAGCATTTTTTTTCCCTATGTTGTCAGAACAATCTCTCCAGGCCCCCTCTCTTAAATACAGGGACCAACACTTTAGTTTGGCAGACCTTGGATGCTCTTCCTGACCTCTATGCAACAAAAATGTCTACGAAGACAGTTTGTGCCTCTTCTCATCAATGCAAAGCTGATCTAGCCTTTACTGGCTGGATATCAGCTATGAGTTAGGCTAGAGTAAAGACCCTTAACCTAAAACCAGAGATCTTCCTGCCACATTTGGCTCCTTACATTAATAACTTAATGGAAGAGTTGGGTCTCTGACAACACTATAGATGAACTTATCAGAGTGAGGGGTCTATGAGAATGATCATTCGTGAACTCTGCATCAATTTGTTTCTGTTGGGAAAAGCATGTGTGTCAGTCTGTATTTGTGTCGTACTATTTTGTGTGCCATGACTCATACGTCACACTGCACGTGTTAAATATAAACGTATGACCTGTATATTCTCGTCACATTCTGTCGCATTGTGACTTGAATTTTAAGGTACTGTATACGGTTTGTTGCCATGAAAACTGTTCTGCTCATCTAACAGAGATCATAAAACACACTGTTACGTTATAATAACACCAAGAACAGGTGATGCAGCTGCACAATACATCATATTTACTTGATGTTACTTTAAACTGAGGTAGGAATGTCTCATTTTGTTAAAGAACTGTTGCCTCGACTTTGACTTTGAAGACTTACCTCTATCCCCTGGTTGACAGCCAATTTTGCCATCCTTATTGCAATTGGACCCTGTGGAGCAAAAAAATCAAAGAGTGACTCTCTTTTCATCTGTTACAAGGTTAAAATGAGAAAAAGCTGCTATGTACTCATGCCTTTCATTGCTAAATCAAATGCAGTTTTCGTTAATTGTACATTTGTCCTGATGGAAAGGTCAGCCTTTAAGTGAGGTGGTTTCGTTACCTGAGGGTTGATCTCACGGGCAAGTTCTAAAGCCCGTAGGTAGGCAGCATCGCCACTTTTATTCTGTTCCACAGAATGACTGACAAGTTTCAGGCGGTAAGCCTCTGTTCCATCCACTACCCGGGCAGCAAAAATGAGCTCCTTAGCAAGAGACACACCAATCACCCTAGGGAGACGCTGTGTGCCACCTACATAGGAGAAATGAGAAACCTGAATAAAACATTCAAGGGAAATGCCATGAACATGCCAAAAGAAGCCTGTGACTGTGGTTGTCAACTCAACTACAACGGCAATCCAATTTCCATATTTCTGAACAACACAACCAAGGACACTATAGTCAGAGTGACTCTTACAGAGGATTTTGGAATAGAGCTCAGGAAGGTCATGGGTTCATTAGGAAACAATAAAGTGCACTTCATGGATGCTAACAAGGCCACGGGCTATGTAAGGAAAAAGATCATCCCAACAACTAAGACAAACTTTTGAATGACTGTATCCTTATTTTGCAGGGTGTTGTGCCCAGAAGGCATTGGACTGAGTATCCTCGCAGTGCTTAATAATATATATATATTTTTTTTAAGTTTAAAAAGTGATAAAAAGGTTAAAAAGACATAAAAAACAGAATTACTCAGTGAGCCGACTAGTCAACCACACGAGTACTGACCCGGAAGCTCAAGCACATCTTTTCCTCTTCCTGTTATCTCTCACATTCACTAACTTGCCACTCTTTGCCAAGTTGAATGGATAAAACGTTTGTTTTAAACAGGCTTTGCGGTCTCCATGGGCTCACCCTGACTGTTGACTATACGGGAAAAAATGCCACATTTTGCTTCGTACATCTACTGTTTGGACAATCAATGGACGCTTCTTGTTTTGTTACTTTGACAACTGCAGTGTTCTTAGAATAAAAGAAAAAAAACAACTGGCCACCCACTATGCCTGCAGGGAGTGGAAGCAAAGCACTGAACATCCACATACTGCCCCACTGTCACAGCAAGCCAACTTACAGAAAATATGACTTCTATTAAAATATGGTTGTTTTTTTGGTACTAATGGTAATGAAATAAATTATAGTATTGAATCTAACAGGAGGGTATTGCAAAACTTTGTTGTTTTGGTATACCATGCAAAATGCATACATATGCTGTATTTTAATCCGCAAGTGGTGATATCAGTATTGAACTACAAGCATAGCTTATTAGAATTGACAATAACATAATGGAACTGACAAAAAAATTGGAAAACATAAATTTTCATTGTATGCAGATGATGTACGTCTATCTCTAGCTAAACCGTCCACAACAATCCCACACGTAATGGCTCTTGTGTCTATACAAGTTATAAAGGAAAAAGGCAAAACAATGGCCATGGATATAGATGGTAGACTTCCACAGCAGATACAGTTCAACAAATGGTGTTAAATGGCCTATTGATGGAATTAAATATTGTGTTATTCAAATCACCTCGACACTAGAAAATGCCTGTGAAGCAAATTGCAGAAGCCTAATACAAAATAATAGTGACGATCTGGATCAGTGGTTAGCGACACACAAACACACACATTCTCATACATCAATGCATTCTTAATGAATTCTTAAGCTTTGCTGTATCTACACACTAGATTTGTCTAGACAATGCAAAAATGAAAATAAGAAATTTTAAAATAAAAAAAAGAAATCCAGCCTTACCGCCTCCAGGAATAATTGCGAGTCTAGTCTCAACAAGTCCCATTTTCGCTGTATTTGCTAGAGAGATCAAAGGCCAGAATTACTACTTACATATAAGCAGTACTAATAGTAGCAATGTATTTAAGCTACAATAAAGAGACCTAAAGTACATTAATTAACAAGTTAAAATGCAGCAGTTTCTGTCTTGTGGGTTGCAAAATATTTTCATCCTCAAAATGGAGAATCCTATTCTTAAAAGGGTTTGAATCATTTAATAATAAATAAAAAGTAACATTACAAGGCATACATTTGGCACAGTCTCCAAAAAATTGCAGTTGAGAACTTCTGTTGTGCTAATAAACAATAACAGTGTTTTGTGCATATATAGAAGACAAACGTATCTTAACCTTAAAGTTAGGTTAACTGAGTCTTACAGGAAATTCTGATGTCACAAGCAAGGGCCATTTCCAGGCCTCCTCCTAAGGCAGCTCCATCAATAGCAGCAATTGTTGGTACTGGCAGGTTACCTATGAAAAAGAAAACATGGTACCAATCACGAGGCATACACTGTATTTATACAGTGCTTACACATAGAACAAACTACATCAGCCCATAAAACAGAGCCGTCCAATTTTATTTGCTACATATGAGGTTTCACCTGCATCTTGTCATATTAGGATGACGTAGAGAAATCATAAAATTAGTCTGAGACATTCGGTAACCCTAACTCTCTCCAGGGTTTCATCCAAGCATATTTGTGTCACCCTAAAACTCACACATAATCAACTGTGATGTGTCCCAAGCTTTGGTCAGGTAAGAAGATATAAACAATACCAAGATAAGAAGCAGAAGCATTGTGACTGTCACAGTATCAGTGCAATAATCTTTAGAAAACAAAATCTAATTCTGCTGTCTTGACTCTTGCTGATTTGTGTCATTACTTAAAGTTTCATTTTTTCCCCCCCATTTCATTGTCATTATCATACAATTATCTAAAAAAGTGTTGCATGAACATGCATCACTGTCTAAAGTGTGGAGCACCTCCAAGTAGATGTACCAACTGATTTCTAATTCATAGTCCATAATTCACAATAATAATAATAATAGTAATAATTCACAGTATTTACCCAGCTCTGTGATGAGGCCTCTTGCTTTTGATACAAACGCACCCACTTCACTCTTTTCCATTTTGGCTCTCTCCTTCAGGTCTGCACCTGCACAGAGAGACAAACCAGCAACATCAAGCCACAGGTCAGTAGCTTTCTGAAATATATTGCAGAGGAGCTCAGCATAGGCCATCAATGGAGCTTTGATACGGTTTCTGAATTTAAGCTAAACACAGTTCTCTCCATTAATCTGCTGAGTGCTACAAGGTCAAGATCTCAATATGACATATACACAAAATTATGCATGAACATATATACAACTGAAGAATGAGAACATAACAGGCAAACACTTCATAAATAGCAAATTCCAATAGAGAAACACCACTCCAGTGCAATGAACAACAATAGTATACCTGCACAGAAGATACCAGGAACCAAACTGCAAATGATGACACTGCGCACTTTGTTATTCTTCTTGATGTCCTCCACAGCGTCAAACATCTGAAAGACAAGATGAGACAACACACATTGCTCATAATGCATTATAACATGAATGTAGAACTTCTCTAAGATTACATAACAATAAAAAAAAAACAGTATAATTCAAGACTAACACAGACATTATGAGAGATCAGAAAAAACTAAACAGAAGTGCATGACAAACAGAAACATCAGTTTTTCCACGGACTGCTTTCCTTTAACTGTTGAGTCATGATAGTTAAGCTGGAATGAGGCCTCTCTGAGGACACTCAAACATCTTACAAATGCAGATATAGTAAGCCATCATAGGTAACTACAGACAGACTCGCACTCATTCCAAATTTCAACAGCGTATCATTAGGAATTGCACACCACGCATGTTGATTGTTTACATCATCTTGTGTTGGGAGGAGGTTCAGAAATGGAGAAGAAAACAAATACAAATACAAAATACAAAACAAGCAACCACACAAACATCTGAGTGGCATCCATCCACATGACTCTATGCACTATATGGCCCAGAGAAGCAGAATTCCAGCTTAAACAGTGCTACCAATCATTACCTCACTTTTAGCAATTCCATCATAAATTAAACAGTGGACAGTAATACATACCATGTTGACAAGATTTCTGCTGATGGCATTTTTGGCTTTGGGACGGTTCATCCCAATAACAACGATACCTGAAAGACACATGCAATATCGTGCTAATTAACCACGGCACCACAGAAGTAATATGTCAATAAAAACAGCATTAATATTTTTAGGATTCCATGTTGATAGACGGTGCTTGTGTTTCCTGGTTGACACAACATTGTGGTAAATGATGTCTCAACCTGAAACACGAGCACCATGTATCAACATCGAATCCTAAAAATATTATTGCTATATATAGCAGATATGTAAGAGATGAACTGTACACCACTGGAACACTGTTTTTGGAGTAGGTTTCCGAGAATGGTTTATGTGAGCAAGGCATCATAAAATACTGAATAGGAATAAGACAATAATCAAACTGTGACTTTGAAACTGTTGAAGCCAACTACACTAAACAAAGACATTGCAAACAATTCCCAAAAACAGTAATTGGTATTTGTCTTCAGGGGTGTTCTTTGAGCTGACTCAGCTGTGAACATGATCAGTTGTCTATTCAAGAAAATAACTGGATGATTAATATTTTGTGAATGGCTGTGAACGGCAGCTCGGTGGTTAGCATCGTCGGCTCGCAGCCAGAAGGTCCTGCGGTTTGCGTCCCGGGTAGGATGCCTCTTTCTGAGTGGTTTGCATGTTCTCTCCATGCAGCGTTCTCCGGCTTCCTCCCACAGTCCACAAAACATGTTGAGGTTAATTGGTGATTCTAAATTGTCCGTAGGTGTGAATGTGAGTGTGCTTGATTGTCTGTCTCTAAGTGTAGCCCTGTGATAGACTGGCGACCTGTCCAGGTGAACCTGGCTTCGCCCTGAGTTGGCTGGGATAGGCTCCAGCCCCCCGCGACTCTAGTGAAACAAACACTCACATTTGCACTTAGGGACAATTTAGCCAATTAACCAATCAACCTCAGCATGTCTTTGGACTGTGGAAGGAAGCCAGAGAACCCAGAGAACATGAACAGCTGTGAGGTGATGGTGCTGACCCCAAGCCTCTGTGCAGCCCCCACCAGATAATATAAAAAAATGCTTCCAAACAGTGAGGTAACACAGATTTTAAACTTGAAAAATATAGAGGACTGGTTTTAAATGAGGAAGAATGAATGCAGACACTCTGATGCACACACCAATCAGCAACTACTACACTAAGACCACTGAGAGATGAAGTGAATAACATTGATTGTCTTGTTAAAACGGTACCTGACAGAGGTCACATATATCAGGCAGCACAGTGAACAGTCAGTCTTTGAAGGTATATCGTTAGAGGCAAGAAAAATTGGGCAACATGAGGATTTGAGCAACTTTAACAAGAACCAAAATGTGATGGTTCAACAATCAAGCAGAGGATCTCCAAAACAACAGGTCTTATGTGGTGTTCTTAGTATAGAGTGGTTAGTCTCAGTCTGAAAAAGAACAGCTACAGCAGCACAAACAGCTGAAAATAATAATTCTACTTAGTAAACTAAGTAGTATCGGGCTGTGTAGCTGCAGACCGGTCAGAGTGCTCATGCAGACTCCTGTCCAACAGTGAAAGAACCAACAAAGGGCTACACAGAGGTACAGAGCTGTACCTTCACTGTACATAATATGGATTGCTAGGTGATAACAGTGGTCTGTTTCAGCAGGATAATGTTCCTTTACACACTGCAGACATGGTTCAAGAATGATTTGAAAAACATGAAAAAGAGTTTAAGGTGTTGAATTGGCCTTCACATTCCTCATATTTCAGTCCAATCTATGTCCAATCTATGAGATGTGCAGGAAAAACACGCTTGAAGCATGGGGACCCCACCTTGCAACTTCCAAGACTGAAAGGATCTTCAGGTAGCATCTTGGGACCTAAAACCACAGCGAACCTTCAGCTTGTGGAGTCCTTGTTTTGATGGCTCAGAGCTGTTTTGGTGGCATGAGGGTAACCTACACAACCCTAGGCAAGTGACTGCTGAAGGTTGGGACTGATTATTCTAAGGGTAGAACACAGTTCATTGTTCTTTTATCTATTAGATTAGTTTACATGCAACGTTGCATATACTTTCACCTCAGGGGCATATCTCACTACCTGGATGAATAAAGCTAAAAACAAAGCACTAGAAGAGGTACTACAAAGCTCACTCAAGTCACATCTAATATGAGTTTTTGCAACAGCATAAAACATTTGCTGTAATTTCCCATGTCTAGTACATTTTAATGACACAGACAGATTTTCATACGCGCTAATGTTATGAACGTCAAACAGAATGACGTATGACGAACGTATCCCCAAAGTTCAAAGACAGCACATTTTGAACTGGTTTACACAGCACTACCTTTCCTCACACACACACACACACACACACACACACATATATATATATATATATATATTACAATAGTGTTTGAACTTTTTTGTAAAAATGGTGAAATGACGCACCAAGCACATACATAAAAGCATTATTAGTTGACTTACATGATTAGTTAAAAACTACAATATTTGGATTAGTAATGTTTTAATGTGATTTAATATTTTTTGCCTATATACGTCTACATATTTCACGATAAAGCCATGGGACTTTGATCACCTCTATTCTTCTGCTTGGATGATTTTTAAATCCCTAACCCAAGACTCCTGAGAACTCCAATAACAACTTTAAATTACAGTGGACAAGCTTCCACAACCGTGTGGAAGACCTCCTAAACTTCTGTAGGTAATTTTAATCAACTGTTTTATTTTATTTTATCAATGATTACGGCATGGTCACTTATTCTACATTTTATGACGGGCTGGCTGTAGTACAGACAGGAAGTAGTCAAAAAACAAACAAACTACAATTTGGCAGTGGAGACGGTTGGACGTGTAATATCTCGGGTTGACGTCCCATTGTGACGTCATCACGCACTGTGCGTAGCTCTCCTTCTGCAGGAGTCCGGGTAGCAGACTACGGCCGGATTGTGCACCGCCACAGTCAGTTCCGTTTGTTGAAAAGCTAAACGTAAATTTTGTATCGTTTTCCCGACAGCAGTAGTTCATACTCTGACAAGGCTGCATTAGAATTGGCACTGACTCCATCCGGAACTTACCAGCGTCGTCTCCGTCCAGGTACCTGACGCGCAGGTCATCCTTCAGGTCGGAGCTGTACGGTCGTGTGGGTGCTCCGGGTCCGCCCGACACTTTACCGGAGTGTCTGAAGCAGAAAAGTGCAGCTGCCGATCTGCACGAGCCGTTCCGAGCCGCTGTCCGCGCTTGGAAGGCCTGGAGGAGGGCCACACGTCCCAGCAGCGCCGCCATGCCGCTTAGTCGCAGTGCTGCTTGACTTTCAACTTTGAACCTGATCACGTTCTGGGACCACGTGACCTGCTTTATTTCCAGTCTCACAGAATTCTAGTCATTTCATCCTCGTGTCTTTTGTTATAAATTTAGAGCAAATGATAAGACTACCTTGACAAAGCTACAATTTTTTAAATCTATGATCAATTTGTAGCTCTCCTAATGTTTTAAGGAGAATAAGTGTCAGTTTATATTGAGAGGAAACTGTATGTACTGCCACATAAGACAGGATACAAGGACCTCCAGGTCAATGCATCTGTTATTTTAGACTCTCATTGTTTTAAAGTCCCACAGTGTTGTGTTGAATGTGTTTAAATAAAGTTTTGTTAAAAAAAAAAACAAAAAAAAAAACATTCAGTTGTCATTCTACTGCTTTACCCACAGTGCACTCAGTCTATCTCAGTGTGGGACACATTTTTCTCCAACCATATCAACACGGCTGACATGTGATAGCACTCTGCTGATTTGGCAATTGGAATGTAGCTCGCTGACACACAGTTAAAGTGGACCCTCCAAAACCTGACTGGGACATATTTACTTTTTCACCTTTCTTTATGTCCAAAATTACAGCAATCACATTCGAAGCTCTACACCTGCTTCAGAGTCTGTGATTCCTTCAGCTTTGTCAGATTACTACTTCATGATGGAGTTTTCAGTACAATAATAAAGGCAAATGTGGAGCGATTATATTGCTGAAAAGGTCCTCTGTAATCAGCTGGAGTTTACACCTACTGCATTTTGGTTTCTGAAAGCGTCATTCTGTGTATAAACAAATCCTTAAAGTGTTAGGTAAAAAGCCAAGAGATCACCATCATTGCAATAGTCTACCAAAAAAAATAAAATACAGTTTCCTCATTTCTTCTTTTACTCTGACGCATGCCTGATGTTTAAAATTATTTCTCGTCTTGCCCTCCCTTCCTCTTAGAGGATGCCCAGCCTACCCAGGCAGTGGCAGTGCAGGTAGGACCAGAGCATCTATCTGAGGTCAGTTGGTTCTTCAGTTCCGAAAGACAGCTTTTAGTCAATCTGCTTTCTCAATTAAAACACTGAAGAAGTGGAATTCCATCCCTACAAACATGGAGAGGTTCAAGAAGCTTTGCAGGGTTTAAACCCAACATCAAGATCTGGCTGGATGCTGCACAAAATTGTCCCCCTCAGTGACTACCATTCTTGTTATGGTTTTTAGTGATTTTATTCAGTATCTCACACTGATGGACTTTTACGTTTTGTATTGTTTATTCAAGTGTATTTGTGGCTCTGTGGTTGTTCTCTTTTTCTGTGTCTATCCAGGGACAACCGATGGATATTAGCTAACTCTGGTGTAATTACTTTGTCGTGTGCAGTTCCTGGAAAAATAAACAAATTAACTAACTACGCTCACTAATTTAATGTCTGTCCAAAGTACAGAACAGCAGAGCCTGGGAAGTGAACTCTAAAAGCAGCAGAGACCCTGTTTTCTATTCACAGTCGTACTTTTGACCTTATGCAAAAGTCAAATTGTCGGTTTTGACATTTTTTAATGATACATCAGCAAATAGTTCCCTACTTTTTCTTTTTTTTAAATAATGCTACAAATGATTGCGAATGGTTTTCCATGACCAATTATCAGATTTTATTTAACAGATCAGTGGCCCAACATGAACCTGACCGCATTTTATCATTACAACTAAACACCACCCATGAGGTTGGTTTTAAATCTAAAGCTAACATTTTTTGCAATGTGTTTAAATGGGGTTTTCTAATCCAGCGTTTTTAAGTGATTGGGAAAAAAAATGAGTAAAGCTTTTGTCAGACAATTTAGAATTAAGTCAGAACTTTGCTTGGCTTATGTGACGAGTTGAGACTTGAGTGCCTGAAGAATCACTTCAGACTTGACAGCATCAGTAAAACATGGACAACCTCAAAAAATCAGCTTCAGTCACATTTAAGCTGCCGTTAGTATCTTCCCTTTCCAGGTAAATTTTTATTTTGCACATCAATTATTTTTGGTGGAAAACGCGTGTACTCTAAAAATGCAGAGATGACTTTGTGGCAGGACATTTGTTGTAGACAAACATTTCAATAACTCCTGAGACTGCTGAGCCTGGAGAGTTGTTGTCATCATCACAGATGTTTTACACTATTTCTTTGAAATAAAGTGTATTATATGACATCATATCAACTAGTATCTGTGTAATTTTATACTGACTACAAAGAAAATCATGAGGTATTGTGAAAATACTCCAGCTGGCTGAACACCATTTTAATCATCTCTTACAGGTCTGGATTCCAAAACATTTAATAACCCAATTAGAGGAAATGTAATAGTATGACGCCAAATGCTTGGGAGACTTATATGTCCAAATACGTGTTGAGGCTTTCCATCATCCATTTATAGTCATGGCACTACCATCAGACAGAAGACACTATTCTCCACACATTGTGGGTTGAACCAGAAATTAAGCAGAATAGATCCAGACAGTGTCCAACCACTGTAAATCTGTCACCACACAAACATGAATGGATACAATAACCACATAACATTTTTTTAATTGGGATTTTCAGCTTTAAGGCAAACAATGGCCAGACTGCCCCCAGCCACAAATGTAATGATAGTGGCAGTAAGGCAGGCTCGTGGTAGCTGTAGCTGTAGGGCATTTTACAGCTCCACAATATCAAAGCAGAACAGTGCTCAGTGACAGCAGGTGTACACCAATAGGTGGAGGCCAGTGACAACAGTCATAAATAATCTGATAAAAAGCAGAATAAACATACCAGTGTCTTTCACATTAATGATGTCTGTCATACCTGATAGATCAACAATTTACAGTAATTTCTAAGTGTCCAGATATCCCTTAGTTACACCACAAATGCTGCAGAGGGAACCAGGTGTTTATTTGAAACAGATTTATATGAGAGATTCAGATTTCTTATCTGCTCCTGTTTTCATTTGCTAATTTGTTAATGCAAACAACAATACGGCCATGTTAAAAAGCTAAACACAAAGGAACATGATACTGAATACATTTATTACCATGTACAGTTCAGCAATAAACCTGATTAAACCATCATGTCATGCTTACCACTCAGCTGCTAAGTTGTTGCTTTTAAACAGAAAGACTATTTACAATCACCAGTACATTTAAGGGCGCAATCTCCTCTGTTCTAATAAGACTTCAACATCAATATACGTTTTGAAACATTGGAAGAAGTGCTAAATTCCATTATTAGTGACACAGCAGAAGTTGGGGGGAAAAAAAGCCAAAGCATTAGGGTCTGAAATCAACAAGTGAATGAAACGAAAAAATTGTGTTATAGAAGAGAAACTGAGGAGCAGAGTGGTGAGTATAACTTTGATGTTGGAATTTGTGCTGGGGTATTATACACAGTAGTGAATTCATCACATCAGTGCTTATTGTACATGTAATTTAACCCTCCCTCCTTCCCCCCAGCCTGTATTAGCAAACAGCTTTTTCAAAATGTATCAAATCAAAGCATAGTTTGGCCCAAATGTCAACCCCACAGTGCAACAGTGAATACAGTGAAAATGCAAAACATATGATGGTCATTCAGAGGAACATCCATTTGATGATGATGATGATGAGTGGTGCTTTTGGTTGACTATCGCAGAACCTTTCTCAGAGGCCACTTTTGCAGACAGGGTCGCAAGGCCCTGTTTTAGATACAAGTCCTCAGCATTTAAGTGTGCAAATGAAACTTATCTTCAATCAATAATTGTTTTGTTTGAGACAGGGCTCGGGGTTCGTTTTGTACTCTTTGTACCGCCCTGCAGTGTCACTGTGCTGCTTTGATGCCACTGCTCTGACTGGTGGGTCCAGTCCTGCATATTGGTGACCTGTACTGACAAAGGGCAGTGGGAGGCCTGCATGTACTCTGAAGAGTCCTGAGTGATCTGGTAGCATTCTCCCTCTGAAACACTGACAAGAGAGGACGACTTTCCAGAGGGCTCGTATTCAGGATCAATGGCCTCTACTTTGATTTGGATAGTTCTGGATTTGATTCGCAGTTTATGCGGCAAAGCTGAAGAACTGGCATCCGGCACTTTGTGAGTGGAGACAATGACACTTCTTGGGTCAGCAACAGATGGCACCAACCCTTTGGGGACCTGCTGCTCATCTTCACCATCTGATGATTTGCTTACAGCACAGTCATCTGAACTCCGTGGTGAGTTACTGGATGACCTAGTCATCTGCATGAATGAGGCCGACTGGGAGTAGATTCCAGACAAAGAGCTGGCCACGCAGAGTTTATACAGTTCATAGGGACTACTCCTTCCTTGTGCATAGCTGGCATTCTCTGCTGGTTCTTGCTTGACATCTGCAGTTCTGCAGAAAGTAAAGCTACCCTGTGTTGCAGTGCATGTTTCAGGCATTTGAGGTGAATGCTTAATGACTGATATGCAGCTGCTGCGCAGGTGAGGAGGCTCCAGATCTCTGCTGGTAGAACTTTGGCTGGTACTGGGTGGAACAAACCCCTGACAGAGGTTGACAGAAGTGGATCTGGATAACTTCTGGACTTCTTGGGCATATGCAGCTGAGGTAACCAGGCCAAACTTCAATTTCAGTGACAGCAGCTCTGCCTTGAGGGACGCATTTTCCTCTCCAAGGGCCATCAGCTTGTTCTCAAGCACCATGTCGTTCATGCGGCGCTTTTCCCTTGAGCGCTTGGCCGCCTCGTTGTTTTTACGACGCCTCTCCCAGTAAACGGTGTCTTTCTTTTCCTCTGGGATAAACTCTCTTTTTCTACGACAGGCAGACTTAGTCTTGAAGGGAATTGCAGAGATTTTGTGGCCCATCAGGTCTCTGTTAGCTCCTTGTAAGGCCACAGCCAGAACCAGAGCATCCTCTCCACTGTAGGACTCATTGGAGTCCACCTCCTGCTTGACTGATTGCATATTATCACTGTTTGCTACTGTCAGTACGCTCATAGGTCTTTAACTAAATACCATAATGCCTGTATGCAGCAATTTTAAGTGCCCCACTGAATCAATCCTCTTGAGTTGATAAATCTGTGGAATAACAGACAGTGAGAGAGGTTTTAATGTTAAGTTAAAAGAAAAGGTAAAAAAAATAATTACATGACAGAATAGGTTCCATTTCAAATCAAGCATGATTGATATCTTTTCTATTTATTTAGGATGAATGAGCCTGTGAGCTCAGGATGCAGACCACTCTGCTGCTTTAGCCGCCATCCGTCATTACCCAGGAGAAAACTTGCTCAACTCATAGGATCTAATCCATGTGACCACCAAATTATGACACTTAACATCTGTTACTCTTAAAGAGAATTTCTACCATAATGTGTGCGTCCTCATAGACTCTGAGGGATAGCACCACCTGATGGATGTGCAGGCGGCACAACTCCTGAGGTACAGAGCAGCAGAGGGGTATGCAGCCAGAATGAACGAGCCTGTGAGCCTGAGCTCAGGGCACAGAGACCCTCAAGTCACAGATCCAGATCTGTCACTGCAGAAGTGCAGCAAAAGTCATGTGTAACAAGACAGCCAAATGTGAGGCCTGCTTGATAGTAACTGGTGATTTGTCTGCATTTCCAGCACTTGTAGCCAAATACTTAGACTTGTCATCTATTAATATCTTTGTACACATTTACAGATCTTATTACACGTACAAATTTTAATTCAGATTAGCAGATTTTTTTCAGACACATTTTGAAAAAGACATTTGCAGATTCCAGCTGGCATTGGCAGATCTCAGTACGCACTGACAAATTCTTTTACACATATACACATGTCACAACAGACACACAGATTGAAATACAGACACACAACTCTCCATACACATGTACAGATAGTTTTACTACAACGATACCCCCATAGACATGCAGCCTGTAACCAGAAGGTGTTGTTAGACAGTCATTCTATCTACAGCCAGTGCACAAATATGTTGGCCTATACAAATTCAGGTTAGGGTGTGGTAACATTATCCAGGTCTCTTTTACCTTTATGTCCTCATTTTGACCTTGGCGTGTGTCTAATGTAGGAAGTGAACGATCAGGCTGAGAAACCTGGTCAGTAAGTGACCAGTGGAGCACAACACAGTCCGCTACCTTTCATACCACTTTAAAGGACATAATATGATCCAAACAAGTCAGTTATTAGATATTCTGCCTGCCAGAGAAAGCTGCTCTCTTAGTTTTTTCCTCACATTTCTTACATCACATAAAGATTTTTACAAATGCTGGCGTTTGCATTACCCAGCTGACCTTATATGAGAAGGATCGCCCCCTTTTGTCTTTTCTAAAGAGGCAACATGACGTGAAGACTATATCTGGATCACACGTGACAAAAATGGGTGCTAAGATTACTGCAACGTCAGCTAAATGTGCCACAGGCTGGTCGTTAGTGGCCGTCCAGCACCTCGTCATCAGGTCCTTTTACCCCACATTCCTCCACGGTGTCCACATTACCCAACAACACCCCCCCACCCCCACCCCCTAACGCCGGTCAGCACATTATGCAATGTCTGTGTGTGTGTGTGTGTGTGTGTGTGTGTGTGTGTGTGTGTGTACTAAGGTGAAGACTCTATCGGGATGAGGGCTGGGTAAGGAGGCCTGCAGCTGTGGACAGGCTGGACGGGAACAATGTGGCCATAGAGCCGGTTCTCTACATGACATCACTGCCCTGCTTCCTCATGCTGCCGGAGGGTGCGGACTCATCTCCGCCCTGGAAGGACAATCTGCGCAAACAGCGTTACGACAGAACAAACGCTGCTTCATGATCAGCACCTGGAGCTCCTTCCTGACTCATCAGTGCTGCCTTCAGCCCAGAACTCTGGGGTTACAACATAGTGTTGCAATTCCCTGAACCGGTGCGATGGTCGGCCTCCCGGTCCTGAACGCTGCTCTGCACCGGCGACATGTTGAAACAGCGACTCACATCACAGCCTGCATGGATCACTTCCAACTACGAATTCCGTCGCGTGTTGAATGAATAAAAGCACTAACACGACTGTTCTGCCTTCATAATGGATTTCATGCAAGAAAACACAGAGGTCAGCCACATGACACCAAACTACAGACGAGCTATGTGACTCTGTAAACACACCATCCCTAAAAATCCTGACCACCTCAAACACCTCAGATTAGCCACGAATCAAAACGGTACCTTTTCTAGCACCTGCTTCGGGGCTTTGGTCTCGTTTTCCGCCGCGTATCAAGCACAAAGAAGCAGAGTAGGGTGTCCACGGATCAGTAAAGAAATGACTGTCTTCGACATGTTCCAAGTTGGAGAGCACCGGACTGCCGTGCCTCGCCTGCTCTGCTCACAGTGCCACCGACCCACGGATCTGTGTTAGTAGGTCACTGATTCAGCGGATTGGCAGCGTCACGTTCCATGACAGCCACCGCAGCCAATCAGAGCGCAGCATTTTCTAACTTCAGCCAATGACTCTTGGTTTCATCGGACAACTTAAAGCTATTGTAATGTGTACGTCCACATCAACAGTGCAAAACTTAGACAAACTAAATCTTCTTGGCACATATAATGTTCACTCATAAAGTTCTAAATAAAAACCTTTTCCACGAGTTTGCAAAGCGCCCTCAGTGTGACGATGTAGAGCTGCAGCTTCCATGTATTGAGCCACATGTAGCTACTGAAGGGCTGCACAGTGGCTCAGGGGTCAGCACCGTCGCTCCCGGTTCGTGTCCCGGTTTGGACGTCTGGTATCTGTCTGGGTGGAGTTTGAATGTTCTCCCTGTGCAGCGTGGGTTCTCCAGCTTCCTCCCACAGCCCCAAAACATGTTCATTCTAAATGATGTGATTCTAAATTGTCCGTAGGTGTGAGTGTGAGTGTGCTTGGTTGTCTGTCTCTAAGTGTAGCCCTGTGATAGACTGGTGACCTGTCCAGGGTGTCCCCTGCCTTCACCCTGAGTCAGCTGGGATAGACTCCAGCCCCCCCACGACCCCATCTGAAATATAATGAAATATTATTTATACCCACGTATAGTAAGTGCTCCCTGCTATTAGACTGACCTTTACCAGTCAACGTGTTCAATTAATAAAGGATTATCAACTTACCCTCATACTTGTGCAGTGAGCAGCATTAACTATCATAATAATAATAATTAATAACAAATACATAAATAAACACATCCCTCAACAAAACACCATAACCAAACCACTAGCCCCTGCAGTGACTTCAGAACGTATATAACATGTAAAGTATATAAACAGCACTTGTTAAACATAGTTTAAGTTGAAATGAAATATGTAGAGTTAAAACAAGAAAATAGGAGAAATGTAAAATGTGAAAAACAGCAATCAGCAAAAGATAAAGAAAACAAATGCAAAGACACCAATAGAATAGAATAGAATGCTTTTATTGTCATCACACACACAGTACAACGAAATTAAAAAGACAACTCCAGTGGTGCAAAATACAAGAATAAAAAGACAAATAAGAATATATAAATATATTTACAAACGGAGCCAGAAGGAAGTATATACAGTTTAATCTACTAAACGGTAGAATAAATATATTGCACTGATGAGGTAAGAACATTGTGGATATATGAGAAATGTAAATAATATAAATAAATAACTATAAATAAATAATATATAATGACATATAACATATCTAAAATATAATATGTAATAATTACAAATATGAGCTCACTACAAGGATTTTTAAGAAAATACAAGATGTGTAAAAAATATTAAAAAAAAAAAAAAAAAAAGCACAAATGTCTGAGAAGAGTTTCACAACATTGTCGCACACAACATTCCATGTGTTTCAGCGCGCGCTTCCCTCCAATCCTCCGGACCAGCTGCAGGGGGCGCTGTCGTCCAGCTGCTGACCACCTGAGCCCCAGTTCCTGCAGGTCGAGACTAAAATGGCTGCTGCATACCAGAGTCAGTCCTGTGTGTTCCTGGGAAGCTCTCTGTCTTGATTACAGAGCTTTGTAGCCTTTGTCTTCAATGTATTATGTTATTGTGTTGTTACTGTTCACCTTGTGATTAAAGGTTTGCTTTTGCCTTGTATAGTCTGTGTGTTACATTTCAATGTGCAGGGTTTGAAAAAGTGCATTGTTTATTCAATGTCTCACAGCACAGATTTGTCAGTGAGGCTCACATGTCACAACATAAAGTACACTGAAATGACCTATTGTTGGTAAGCATAACATTAGGAATGAAGGTGGTGTTTGGGGCCTCACTGGACTTCTCAGCTTCCACTTCCACAGCAAAATAAAGCATAGAATCTTCAATCCTTGTATTGCTGAACATGAAGGACTTTTTGTTTTTAGATAAGCTATTGAATGCACAATAAAAGAACAACAACATAGATTTGGCTCTATATTAATAACTAACTGGTTCTAATCTATAACTAATGTTTTTCAAATGTATAGACATTTGCTGGGAGGCAGCTCACTCAGATTTAATGACTTTTGTTTTTTCATTTGTTGGTTAGTTCTTCCTTGCTTTTAGTCATGAACATGTGCTCTTATTGGCCAGGTACAAAATTTCTTTCACCATCCATACTTCCTGCTTATTGTACAGCCCATGTTTCCACCAATATGAGCTGCATGTTGCAAGTCTGTATATAAAAAGTGAACTGGGGAGATTCTGAAGCAATTATTAAGAAACCATGGATTAGTCAGATTTTAGTGTCAGCTGAGCATGCCACAGTGTACCTTAGCATATGTTGCTGATCATTTGTAACCCTTTGCAGCTTCACTCTTCTGGAGCATTTAAGTCAAATTTTGACATTTATAGCAGTTTGACAAAATAGTCTTAACTGTATGTATAACTAATTGCTATCTTTTTCTAGTGCTTTCAATCACATCCCATATTCTTCTCGGCAAATTTGAGTTGTATTTCGTATGAAATTTGTGATTTTTTTTTTTATATGCAAGCTGAAGGAACAGCCATGGTGTCATGATGTGAGTGACATGTGTTGCGGTTACTTCTATTCACCCCAGATGCCGAAGTCCTTCTTTAAACAAGGAAAGAGGTTACAATCTTTGCATCGTGTGGCCAAACTTCATTTAAGGATCAATAAAACAAGTAAGTTAAGACTATTTTATTAAACCTATGTTCTTTAAAACCAACTTTCAACACATGCTTATCATATTGTTGTCATGATGTTTCATTAAAGTTATGTATAATCCTAACAAACCAACCAAGAGGAAAGTGCAGTATTTTTGTTTTAATCAGAAAAGAATGTATTCATTCAATATAAAGTATATTTTTATTAACTTCTCAACACATGAGAAAAAACACTTTATTTACATGACTTTATTTGATATTCCAATACATAGCAAGCAAAAATACTGCTTGAAAAAGGAAACATCATGGAAAAGACATTCTATTTACACCAAGCTTAGCAATCTTTACAAATAAAAAAAAAAACTTAAAAGCAAAAAATGTTCAAAACAAAGTACATAAATTAAAAATCTATATAACTTGGTTACAAAAGTTGATGTTAAAAGTACCAATCACATGTGTAAAATGTCCTGGAATGACTCCTTTGTTCTTATTCTTTTTTTTTTTTTGATTGATGGAGTTAAGCTCCAAAATACATCTGAGTGAGAATTACGAAAAAAATACCCATAGGTTATGTCAAAACTCCTACAACATTTCTCTTCCTCATACATGTATTGTTCTCTGAATAACGTCTGTGTTGCACAGCAACGGCAAGGACAATAATTCTTCTTAATGGCAGTATTATAAAAAACAAGATGTAAAGAGTAATTGCACAATTCACTTTGCTCAATCCTTGACGCAGGGTTCTGAGAGGCACGAGACTCACTTGACATTCAGGTGCGTCTGAGTGACCTTTGAAACACCAGAGACAGTTTTGTCAGTGTTTTCCAAAATTGCTGCCTTCACTTCATGCTGCTGATTGAATTCTTGCCAGGAAAGCACAGCTCATATAATATTTTAGCTCTACTTTTATTCAAACAGCACCACACTTATGTGTCTGACAAGTTAATCACCAATTCGTCAGTTTGATGAGCCTCATTGTCACCGAGCAATTCTGTTTCAGGCACGGACAAGTCCTTGTTTTGGCTTAACTCTTCCTGTGATGTCCCATTAGCCAAGTCTTCATCATTGGTCTTGGAGTCCTCGTTTAGCAAAGCTGCTCGCTCTGTGGCAGAAGTGTTGGAAGGGGCAGTGGTGACATAGCCTGTAGACGTGGATCCACTGCCACTATGGTGAGAACCAGCTTTGTTAACCATTAGTGGTGGGTGGTGCATCTGCTGGTGGGGTATTGCCATGGGTATTTGCATGGGGTAAAAGTTCTGCAGGTATGGGTACGCTGGAATGGGGTGGTATCCATTGACAGGGATGTAGAGCTGTGGGGGCACCATTGGCCGATGCATTTGACCCTTCATTGGCATAAACTGGGGCTGATGAAAAGGTGAGCTCTTTTTAGGGCTGGCATAGCGTGATGCATTCACAGTGCACATGCTAATGTTGCTAACCGGGCTGGTACTGAGCGAGCTGGTCTGGGTAGTGTTGCTGGTACCAGAAGTCTGAGCAGAGCTGTTGTAGTTGGACAGGCTCTCCCAGGAACGCAGACGTGCATGGATGTCTTTAAAGCGAGGCCTTCTAGCAGGAAATTCACTCCAACATTCCAGCATAAGGGTGTAAATCCATGCTGGGCAATCATCAGGACAAGGCAGTAGCTGGTGGCTGCGCACCATCTCAATCACATCCTGGTTGGAGTAGCCACAATATGGTTGAAGACCGTAACTAAACGTCTCCCATAGCAACACACCATAAGACCAGATGTCAGAGTCGGTGGAGAACTTGCCATACGTAATAGCTTCTGGGGACATCCAGCGAATAGGGAAGGGGCTTGTTCCCATGAGATTGTAGTAATCTGCAGAGTAGACATCTCTGAACAGCCCCAGATCAAGGATTTTGACACTGAGTTTATCAAAGACCAGAATGTTTCGGGCAGCAAGGTCCTTATGGACTATTTGGTGGCTGGATAAGTACTCCATTCCAGCAGCAATCTGGGTGACAACATGGAGGAAATCAGCTTGCTCCAATGTGGATTTGACTGTCTTGTCATCATCCGAGCTGCCAATATCTGAATTGGGAGAACGCATTACCAGATACTCATGCAGGTCACCTTGGTTGGAATAGGTGAATATCATGCTCATTGGTTGCTCTTTGGTGACCATACCGAGCAAACAAACAATGTTTTGATTCTGTAGGTGAAAGCGGAGTGTGGCTTCATGACGAAATTCCTCACAAAGAGTGGCATCAACTTTGTCTTTTAATGTCTTGATGGCTACCACCTGAGTCTGCTCACCAGAAGCTGTGGCGTACAGGTGGCCCCTGTAAACTTTACCAAAACGATCCTCTCCAAGCTCTTCCATAAATCGCACAGCTGACATGTTAATCTCCCGCAACTTGGCCTGCAGTCATAAAGGATAAATGCATATCATCAAAGTGTATGGCTAACAATAGAGAATGAGACAGTTCCTTTGTAGGTGTATAGAGGTCACATTTACTTTTACCGAGTGTTCAGATCTAAACAAGCATTCTTTTAAAAAAAACACAAAAAACATCTGCATTCGTGAACCCAGGGGTCCAGAACATTCCAAGTTCACTGTGTACAAGGTGTATCAGAAAAGTTCCAGGACTGGTGTCACAAAAGATATATTTCAAATCCAAACTTCAAACTACGAGTTTTCACCTTCAGACGATCAACCAGCACGTCTACAAACACATCTTGCGGCGTTTGCTTCGTTCAGTGTGCGAGAAGAGGCGAGAGTTGTGGCAGGACAAATCGCGCCTGCTCACAATGCCCTGAGCAACCTCCCTACTCACCCCACCTGGCTCTGTGTGATTTTTTTCTCTTCCCCAAGCTCAAGGGGGTCATCAAGGTGACCTGTTTTGAAGACGTGGATGGCATCAAATGGCTGTGACAACGGAGCTGCAGAGGATCCTGGAAGAATCCTTCCAGGAGTGCATGCGTGGCAGAAGAGGCTGGGAAAGTGTGTGAGACTCCAAGCGGATTACTTCGAAGGGGACAACTTGTAGTTTTTAGTTTGGATTTGAAATATATCTTTTGTGACGCCAGTCCTGAAACTTTTCTGACACACCTCATACATTGCAGTAATGTAAATGTTTCTTCACTTGTCCTGTACATGCTACTAACAGTGCACAGTACACTGAAATTACAGGGATCTTAAGGTGAGACCTACATTATTACATAATCTGGAAACTCCATCTTATACAGGTGCCCTGATTTTAAATGTAGTTCAAAAGCCTTTATGATTTCAACTTTATTGTGCAACTTCTTCAGTAATTTCTTAATGTGTAATGTTAATCCTTTATTTTGCCATTTTCTAATGCAGTGTTAATGTCATTCTGAACACAGTCGTAGAGAAAGAATGCAAATTAAAGACCTCTATAGCAACAAAGCTTTGTACTGCGTGTTTGTGTTACCTGGTGTTTTTGCAGATTGAGAAGCGACAGTTCCATGTCCTGGCTGGATGAGCTACTGAGCTGGCAGCGAGATGGTGTGTCAGTTGGAGCCTTGTGTTTATTGCGACACATGCAAACCAGGAAGAAGAGGCAAGCGATGAGCAGTGGAAGGGAAATTGCAGGGATTAGAATGAATAGGATCTCCTTCCTTGGATTTACTGGTGGCTCTGGAAAGTAAGATATTAAAGACAACAACAAATTATGTTCTGTGCTTTATAATATGGTCATTCTAACAGGAGTAATTAGATTTTTGCATAAACATATTATTTGTGCCATCCACATACATAAAACACAACCTGATTTATTGTTCTACAATACTGAAGACTGTTAACTGTCTAAGCAACATGTGCCTTCAACTCAAGTTTTAGAAGGGCATCAGTCTGCTCTAATCACACAACAAATAACAACAGCATCCAGTTAAAAGACACATCCATTCTTATGGTGCAAGAGTGAATACCAGAAAAAACAAGTGTGGGTCCAACCATAGATCTTGTAGCAAAAAAATAAAATAAAGAGACAAACAGTATTTCCACATCACTTCCAATTCAAAAAAACACATTACAGATATTAAGTACACTGTAGCTGTGAGCTTGATGCAGCAAAGAGATTCAGTGTAAGTGCCAAATGCTCTAAGGAGTGGAAACAGTTCAGAGTAATAAACCATTTCCACGCTCCCTAATCATGTGACTTTATCAAAAGTCATACTGTTGGACAAAAGATGAAAAAGGGATAGATGAAACATTAAATAAATTAAATTAGAAAAAGTGCATTTGTTAGAAATGGTCTGTTGATTCTGCAGCACAGAAAGCAACACCACTAAATTAGAAAAAGAATGCAGAGTGTCATATGCTGATGACTCATATTGGTGTGATACAGCTATATGATTGTCTTTTGGCATTTGGCATTTGTAAACAGCGTGTTACTCATGGGGCTGCAAGGTGGAACAGTGGTTAGCATCATTGCCTCAAAGCAAGAAGGTCGCCGGTTCACGTCCCAGTAAGGACACCTGGGATCTTTCTGCGTGGAGTTTGCATGTTCTCTCTATGCAGCGTGGGTTCTCTCCAGGTTCTCTGGCTTCCTCCCACACAGTCAAAAAACATGTTGAGGTTAATTGTTGATTCTAAATTGTCCGTAGGTGTAAATGTGAGTGTGCTTGGTTGTCTGTCTCTAAGTGTAGCCCTGTGATAGACTGGTGACCTGTCCAGGGTGTCCCCTGCCTTCACCCTAAGTCAGCTGGGATAGGCTCCAGCCCCCCGCGACCCTAGTGAGGATTAAGCGGTGTATAGATAATGGATGGATGGATGTTACTCATGTTACTCTCCACAAGCATATATCGAATCTTATATTTGCCACTGTTGTTTATCACTTTAAACAGTCAGACATATTTTCGTTGAGATGACAATAAAATTAAACCATCTAACTTGATCTTTCTGTGCATGTTTTACCCTGTGCCTCTGTTTGTGTTGCTTTTGCGTGTGATGATATTCAGTTAAGATTTGACCCATGTTGGAAGTTTTACACAAATGTTTTAAGTCTGATTACTGCTGTGACTTTTAGATAAAAATTAATGTTATTTATTCACACAATAAAATGACTTTTCTCAAAAATCTTTTATCTTTGAATAACCTGAAATTGTTACCATCCAAATGAGTATTAAGTCACCACGTATTGTATTATAGTACTTACTGCATGGTTGAACATCACATAGTTCTACCCTGACCTGAGGGTTCAGGGTAAAACACCATGGGGCCTGCATCTGGCCTCCTGGATTACGACAGAAGTTGTGACTTCCCCAGAGCTCGGGGTACTCCTGGGACAGGTGGTGACTGTGAGGGTATTGAACGCTCCACGGCTGACAGTGGTGGCCAGATTTAGTGATGCTGGCTGTGCCCCTATAGTCAGCACCACTTCCGTTGTAGCAGCTGTGATCTGAGGGTGAATCTGTAGAGCAGACAGTGACTCACTATGGATATGCCTACACACTGTTTCACAAATACGCTTTCCTCTGCTCCTGTCTACAGCGGAATATTTAACCCAAAACACACAAGATTAATGTCAGCTTTGTCTACTACAAACTAAATCTTCCCTTTTGTGTTTTTTACATCAGTAATTGTAATGTGTGCATGCCGTCGCATCCACCTACATGAACCCAGTTTTTCCGGTGGCACTCCTATCCTCATACAGGAAGAGGCATCAGGTGTGCCTGGCCGTGGCAGTAAGTGGCAGCTGGGGAGCTCGAGCTGCATGAGGATCATGGGATTGGATCTGGCAATGGTGTACTCAGCATGGCAAAGGTCATTCTCCAGGGCCTCACATTCGTCTCGGCAGAGCTGACGACGCCGAGGGCCCCTTGAGCCCTCATCACACAGAGGGAAGACATAGTAGCAGAAGGATGGGATGGCAAACCTGGAGCATTGATCTGATAGGTAGGTGGAGGTGCCAATCATAGTGAAGGCAGCTTGAAGGGAGGAAAGAATGAAATATGTTTAAATCGTTTGTTGTACTTCATGCCTGTGGTATGTGTTGAGCTGAGTGAGTTCAACAAATCATAATAAAATGGTCACAGTTCCCTTGGATTCTAATAATGTGTTTGTTGGTATACACAATTCTGCATTGATGGTAGTGTAGTATGTGATAACTCAGACGGCCAGCTAAGTTCCTCACCTGTGATGCGGTTTTCACTCTCCCCCTGCATTTGTAGAGACTCAACATAGATGCTCTGGTTACCAATGAATCGTGCACAGGCGATGCCTCGGTATGGCTGACAGAAACCTTTGTCATGCGACCTGACAAGAAAAACAAACGACACTTTAGACACAAATAGTTTAAAAGGCCAGTGAAAGAAAGAAGAGAAAACACGACAATGTACAGTTTTTGTGTACATTTTTACAGAAGCCACTTATTAATATTGCTATGGTTACATTCAGTAAGCGTAACCACATATTAATAAGGGTAAATATATTACCAATAAACTTTAGCCTATAGCTGATAAATTGGTCTTGGTGTGTCCTAATATGCTCGCTGATAAGTAACAAAAAAATTACAGTTCATAAAATAAAACAATATCTTTGAAGTCATTCAACAGTGATGTTTTGAAATAGGGTGTCTACCACATAGCCAGATTCACTAGTTAGGGGACTCCAGGTAAAAACTTGCTGTTTACCTTCTACATCTGTGCCCACTGTGTAGTGGATGTACCTTATTGTCTAAAAGATGCCATTAGTGCCAACAGCATAGGGGACAGCATTCTTTCCTGGGTGGTAGGGGCGCACACCCAAGATGAACACAACACATACCTTGGTTTCAGCTTTCTATTGACCACATTTAACAGATGATCATGAACATCGGCTTATGCGTAATTTTATTGGATTCTGTAAACCCTTCAATACCGTCCTCAAAATCCTCTATTATTTAGACACTAGTAACTACAGATGTCACACAGTGCAGATATGCAAAATGGACAAAACATTGACCAACTGCTCATCCAAACTCCTTCAAACTCGCCTATGTTGACCACAATGCTCTCTAATTGATAGTTCAAATCAAGACCAATGTTTTGGTCATACACATTTCCAAAAGGTTCCAAAAAGCTAACAAGTGAAAGAGCTCTGGCTTGTATTCATTCACTTTTGGAAAGACTTGTGTCTGTTGTTGTTCAAAAGTTACTCCATGCAGCAGACGCTGCAAGAAAATGATGTAAAAAGATCAGCCTACACACTGTGGAAGCAGATGTTGTGGTCCTAGCCACTGCACATGTATCAGAGCTGGTCACTGAGGAGCTGTGGGTAGCATACAAACCTGCCTATGACATTACCAAGTCTCTGGGTCCTTACTAATCCAAGGCCATTCCTGTGTTCCATGCCTTGAACACTGTACACATTACAGGCAAGAAGACAGCACGGTATACCTGGAATACTGATTACATGGCAACACAGTTGCTGTACAAGGCCCTGAAAAGCATCCCGTGGGTGTTTGTTCCCTTTGGAGAGCTTCACAGGTCTCTTCTATGATCCTACTACAGGCTACCTCTGCACAGCTCACATTCTTGAGTTGTTCTGAACAAAGAAGGATTGGAGCAAATCCCCCACAACTAAGGATGCTCTAGAACTGTACCTTAAAAGTGCAGTGTATCAGAAGGGACACTGTTAGGGACATGCATTTGAGGTGGCACCAAATATGCTATTTCCAGCAGGCTGGGGTTGGATACACCCAAGTGATTGGAGAGCATTGTGGTCAATTTTTCCGCAAGCAAGTCAGTCCATCCTTGAACTCTTAAATTGTGGCTGCATGGTTGCACAAGAGGCTGCTAGGAGCATTGCAAAAGGAAAAAAACCTCCTTAAGTGTATACCTCTGTGCCAATGTCAAGAAAACGGTGAAGCAGACAATGAAGAACAGGTCCAAACACAACAAAACAATCCACAAAACATCTCTGAAATCATTTTTTTGAAGTAAATCTTTGTGTTTGACTCGTTCACTTTAAGCTAAGAAGTTCATACCAAATATAGTTTATAGTCACTGTACTCGGGGGGTTAATGAACAGATGGATTAGGCTTTTGAAACTCTACACAACACAAACTGTATTATAAGGTCTAGCCTAGGTTCTCAGACAACAACAGGTCTCTGAATTCATCATTATCCATTCATTTGAACAGTTTATGATGGTACTAGCTATCAAAACATGAGCAAACATCACCTTATCTGTGTTATCATGTTTGTTTTAGGAGATATGATGCAAAACACATAACTTGGCCACTCAGAAACTAAAATGGCTGCCATGCCGCAACAAAGCATTTTGCTATGTCTTCATTTATGAACATGATCAGGGCCCCAAACTGTACAAGTGTACCAAGCTTCATACTTTCATATTAGAGTAAACGTCATTATCACATATCAACTGGACTACATGAGAATGGGATTACCTGACCTTCAACAGCTGAATATTGTATTTAGTTTAAAAATTTGAAAACAACTGAAAACACTGATAAATGGGAAACAGTGTTGTGTGTTCAGCACTGTGAACTCAAGGTGAGAAAAACTAAAATAAATAGATCCACAAAAATGAGAAAACAGTCTTGCAAGATGGCGGCACGTGCAGACGCTGCGGCTTCTCCTTCTCCCGACCTAGACTCTATATTTTTAGTGTATTATATGTTTAGCTTACATATTTTTTAGTATGCATATTTATTTTTCAACTTTGTGTTTTTCTTTAAATGAGGGCCTGAAAGAAAGGCCTATGTATGTGTACACGTGTAGCAGAACTTACAAAAGAGTAACTCTGACTTGACTTGACTTAACAGCGCAGCACATGTTGAGCTGCTGAGGTCAGTGCTGGTGCTTTACAGGAAGTTGTTCTGGTTTAACCAACTGATCTGAACTTGTTTTCAAACGCGGCTCTTTGCTAAGGTCATTCGTATGTGATGTTTTGCTGGGCTTAGCCGCCCAGGCCTGACTCAAGTCTTAATCCACAGAACAAACAGGCTGAAGCCAAAGCAGGGGATATACACAGTAAAAAAAAAAAATGCTCTGGATAAACATTAGAAATTCCTAAATTCACCAAAAGTCACCAATAACCAAATATTTAAACAACCATTGTTAAAACCAAGAATTAATGACCCAATGGAGTATGCTACACGGGCATATACTGTACGTCAGGGTAGTTCAAATCCCCTGCTTTCTGTCTCTTCTACATTTGCTGTCCTGTTGTCCCTGTCAAAAATAAAGGAAAAAAAAAAAAGAGTGCTGCCACTGAGACTTTGATCCTGGATGGATGGGTGGCTTCATATTTGGACTGGCTCTGTGCCCTAAAAAGAGGAAACCTGTGAGGTTGAGTAAATGTCAGAAATCCTGAAAAGTTTCCAGTTCAAACAGCTTATGAGGACAGGAAGCTGATCAGGTCACAGTGAGAGTTAAATGATGTTATGGTGACCTCAATACAAGAAGTGACTCTTTGGGAACTGACAAGCGTTGAGCGCTGCACAGTACGGTCCTCCTCAGCGCTGTGTGAGCCTTTTCTCTCCTCAGGTTTAGCTGGAAAAACAGTCCTTCTAACTAATGATTGGGGGCAGTGAGAGCCTTGTCTCTGCTACCAGCTGTACCACTATGAGTCAAGCAATGCTGTTTGACATGGGGTTTATATGTATCCTTATTCCTACTTGTGAGCTACTCTGTGGAAAAAACTTCAGTGTTACAAGGATTTTTAAAAAGTCAACTTCACTAAAGGCCTTCAAATCAAAACCTGTCCCCTCAAAATTCTTCGCATTTCTTTATCCCAGTTCATATACACGTACAGCATTACAGACAGCATTAAAAAAATAACAACAACAGCAAACACAACCAATGAGCTGCAAATACCCCAGACTACAATGGAAAGTTTTCCAGGGGGCACTGAACATGACTGAAGCATGCTCGTTATTTCTCATCCACCCATCCATCATCTATACACCGCTTAATCCTCACTAGGGTCGCAGGGGGGCAGGAGCCCATCGCAGATGACTTGGGGTGACGGCAGGGGACACCCTGGACAGGTTGTGTTATTGCTCAGTGACTCATGAAATTACTGAAGCTGACCATCTGTCAGTGATGTTGGAAAATTAGCTGACATGTTTGTTTTTTTACTACATTCTAATGGCAGGATTCATGTCATTGCAGGTATTTGTCAGTATTTTGCTTATTTAATAATAAGCAAATAAGTAGTATTAATATGTGAGGACATTTGTCTACTTGTTAACAATTAAATAATATTGGAAAATCCATGCGGAGAGCGTCAAAACTACTTACTGTAGAAAACGTCTATAGAAAATGTCTATGCGTTTGGGCTCTGAGTGCTTTCAAAAAAACACAGGCCACTTCCATCTCAGTGTTGTGACAGCTCATTCTGCTCCATATGTCCTGTTTATCAGTTTATGACATGTACGATTGCTTCTGTTATTTTTTTCTGATACATTCAACTCTCTTCTCATTGAAGAAGCTTCACTTCCTGCACTTATGTCTTTGGTAACTTTGTGATTTCTTTCCTAATGTGTGTCAGCTGTGTCTCATTTTCCTGTATTTAGTCTGCTCCTCTCTCTGTGCTCCTTATGTTGAAATTTCAGCTTTTTGTTCTCTCATGTAAATATTCCTTGTGTTTTTGACTGCCTGTTTTTCCTGAATCCTAATTCTGTGTCGATACACACAGAGTCCTGAAGAGGCTGCTACTGTGATTCCTTAAAAGTAGCAGAAGACAAGCGACAAACCGTGACGCAGACAAAATAATCAATCATAAAACTGACACTGACACTGATACTTTGACAGGGACATCTGTTGCTATGATTTAATAGTGCAACTGTACAGCTGAGTACACCTGGTAACGATAAAGGAAAAGGTAAGAAACGTCACTGTACCCTCCCCAGTCCCTCCCAAAATGAATAGTCTTCCTACCCCCAGTTCTACATATATAGGACAATATAGGAGCTACAGTGTTGGATCATGAGTGAGGTGCTCTGGAAGAAGCATTCAGCTGGTCTGACTAAGAACATGAATAAGCATTTTTTCCAGTTCAGAGCTGGTTTTTCCAAACCACCGGCTAGTGGTCAGGAATCTCAGCTGAGCTTCATCCTTGTGAGTCAAAACCACGAGAGAGAGAGAGAGAGAGAGAGAGAGAGGGAGAGAGGGAGAGAGAGAGACAGAGAGAGAGAGAGAGGAAAAACTACATGTCGTGCTACCCGTATAGTTTGGTTGCATCAGTCAGCGCGGCACAGCACAAAGAGTCGTCACCATTACTATACCCGGTTGAAGAAGTGGAGGTATGACTGTTAGCTGACATGTCTTTGCATGCCTATTTTCGCTTTGGGCCAGCACTTCTAACTCCAAAAACACATACATTTGCACCTCTGCACTAATGAGGATATTTATTTACTTGTTAGTTTAGTTTGTCATATTAGGTAGATGGTTATTAATCGTGGTCATTTTTCAAACTAATGAAAATTCTAAATGTTAAACTTTAAACCTCACCACCCATACAACCTAAAACCAAACACAACTTTTAGCCAATGAGTGCCACATACATCTGAAATAATGTCCTGGCATTGAAAGCAATATAAATGACAGAAAACTTTCTGGGGGAAAAATGGAAATACAATAAATATTCAGTACATTTGAAAGTTCAGACCTGGTATACAAGGTAATATAACAGTCTAACCTTATGGCACGAGATCAATCTTTACAAGGCTTCCAGTAAAGTATTTTCTGCTACTTAGAAAAGTATCAACAAATCTACAGAACCCCGTCGTGTCACATCAGCAATGTAACCTACTTCTTGACTTGTCATTATGCTTCTCAATATTTTCTGAACAGTATTATCAAGTGTGGATAAATTGATGGGTAATCGATGGTTTGAGAAGTTTCTATGGAAGATTGGTTGCCTAATTCCATTGAAATGTGTTGAAACTTCCACGAAGTTGATCACAGATGCTGCTCTGCATAAGTGACTCTATGAGCACATACAAACCCACTAACATCTTACAGCCACATACAAGATGTGATACGCTGATACACGTTTACTTTTCTTAACTTTTAAGATGTTCATTTCTAAAATTTTTTTGTTTGTTTTTTTAAATCAATCACTAATGTAAATGTCCTTAATTTGGAACGTTTTTAATTTCCATTGCTCTACAGACATGCTGATGCACAGAAGGTGTTCACTTACGGTTCATCTGGGCCACGTGTGGGCGTCTGTCCTGTAAATCCAAAATAAAACATAAATAAAGTGCAAATAAAATGAAAAAGTGACATATTTAGCTTATCACTTTACATGCAAAATACAGATATTCCAGTTTTTACAGTTACAGTGCAAAGAAACATAAATGGGTCATAAATGATGTCACCAAAACACAAGCTCTTCGTGGAAGCTACCTTCTCACTGAGACTTTGTGGAAACATATAAATCATCATCATATAAATTTCCAAAATGAACATTCAACATTTACCCATGTAGTCAAGGCCGAAGAAAAACTAAGTCAGGATATCTGTAAATGTGAGTCTTACCTAGTTTGACATAAAGCACGCCCGTGGCAGTGATGACTTTGAGTGAGTTAGAGGCAACACACTGATAATATCCTGTGTCTGTTGTGTCTAGGTCCTGGATGCGGAGCTTGGATCCTGCCTCTGTCTTGCGGATGGTTATGCGTCCTTGTTCCTGCACCACAGGGGCATCGTTCTTTAGCCAGCGGATGGTGGGTCGAGGGTTTCCAGCTACTTTGCAGTGCAGTGTGGCTGTCTGGCCCTGGAAGTGGGTGATGTTGTTGACTGGTTCCTGGAACTCCAAGAAATAACCTTGAGGAAAGGAAAGACATTGGTTTAGAAGTCGATGGAACCGATAAAGCTGAGAAACACACAGAGTGGGGTCTACAGAAACTTGGCAGTCATAGAACATGATGTTATCATGCTTGGTTGTTTTTCTTCTCAAATGTTCATTTACGCAGAAAAGATTTGTTTTCCAGCAGGTCTGATTCTTTGAAGGGCTCCCTCAAAAAGCAAAACCTTATCCACTAAAACTAAATCTATATGTATTTACTATATATGGCCCATTAATTGATCCAAGCTGCATCATACCAAGTGTGAGAGAACACAGAAATAGACTCAACACCTGGCGAGTATGGTGCGTCATCACAGCCAACAGGGACAACTCCCTCATCAGCTCCATTCAGATAAAGCCAGCTTAAGCATGCACATCTCATTGCTGTGAAACAAAGGCCAAGCTTTAAGTAAAGTTTGCCCCAGGACTGGCATGACTAAGTCTGTATGTCCTCAGCAAACTAGGAAAATCTGTTGGTAGGTCATTACAAAGTTATTTTAAGTGAGCTTTTAATATGTAGCAGTCAACTTAGCTGCTCCCCTCTAAATGGTCCACACTGAATACAAAAGGTTACCAAAGAAAGCCAGTTTCTCCAGTATTATTACTTCATGCATGAGGACGAGACATTTTGCTGAAACAAACAACATATGGCAGAAGCCTTACGCTGTCCATCCTTTTCTTTCTAGGTTTTAGATCTGTGTTGATTCAAGCTTCTGCTCATTTAGGGGATTGTAACGTGTGGTATTGTTGAACTGTATCACATCATACAAAGGAGTGTTTCTCTTAATTAGTCTCACCACACTGATATAAATGAGATGGAAACAATACTACAAACTCCAAACAGCACAGCAAAAAACATTTAAGCAGCACTACAAACTGCAGCTTTGGAAAATGACCACACAGCTGAATCAAAACCTATCAAAGCAGTACAACAAAGACAACAGACAGATTCAGTCAGTACAACACAGCACAGGGTCGTCACCGTTACTACAGTCAGTTGAAGAAGTGGAGGTATGACTGCTACCTGACAAGTCTTTGCATGCCTTTTCTTCTAACTCTAAAACACTTGCACCTCTACACTTATGAGGATGTTTATTGACTACACTTCCAAAACACTGACCACTTTAGTTTGTCCAATTACAAATTATGGTATTTTTCTATTTAAAGTTCTAAACTTTGATCTTTACCACCTATACAACCTGAAACCAAACGTTTATCCAATCAGCTGGGCATTAATTTATAATGATTTCCTGGCATTTAAAAGCAATACGGATGAAAGAAAACTTCCTGGTTGTATACAGAACATTACTCACATATACTGGCATATCACCAGATGTTTTCTTGAACCGTAGGCCATGTTCAAGAGTTGCTCAGCAACTGTTGTTTGTGTTAGACAAAGCAGCTGCTAAAGACTGTATGCAACCCCCCTAGATCACTATAAAATTTAAACAGGCCAGATGTGTTGAATTGAAACCTGAGACTAAGTAAGCATAATGATGTTTGTGTAAAATTGTGATGGCGTTTTCCTTTAAAATATAACACATCTATCATCAATATCACAGTTATCTAAGTAAAAAAAAAAAAAACACTTCTGTCTGTAGCCTACAGCTTCACATTTTGGGAGGATAATAAAGCATTTTCCTTACCTGTGACTGAATCATTGTGTGAGTGTGCCCTGCAACCTTGTGGCCTGAAGACACCCGATGCTCACAAAAACTAATATGCATAAAATATTTAATACATTTAAATGTTCAGCCTTGTATGCCAAAGTAACGTAACATTCTAACCTTATGGCACCAGCTCACTCTTTACAATGCCTCCAAATACAGTTGAATCAGAACAGCACAACAAAGTCAGTGGACAGAATCTTTATGTAATATGCTCTCTCATAGCTGACTTCTCTCTTAAATTTGTTTTTGTCAAACCAATGACGTTTGAGGCCAATGACAAATATTGGAGAGTTAAACACTGCATGTTATTAAAACTAAACTAAAAGTAAAATAAAAGAATTTGTAGCAAGTGAGCACAGAGCAAGACATTTTACTGTGTAAATATAAAGTCAGTGATGTGGTGGATAAATAATGGAATTTAAACACCATTTCAAGTGTTAACAATTAGATGCTTAGTGTCTGACATACAGTATAAATTACAGTGATACCAATGAGCTGATAATGAGCCACTAGTTGGCTGATCTATCTTTTGGGTAGATTGATATGGATTCATTCACAACTTATAATAGTGTCCAAAAAATGTTCAATTTCCTTTTCCTAAAATTTGTTAAAGCTACTGTTGTGAGGTGTTTGTAAAATATTACTGAGCATATATATGTGTGTGTGTGTGCGTGCTGCTATATATACTCGTACATACTTTTTTAATTGCCCTACTACAGTGCTGAGAGCCGCCTGTTAATTCAGTGTTAGTTATTATTAGTAACAAGAACTGACTGTCCAAGGCCAAACGTAGCCACATGTATCTTTGGGAGTGAAGGACGTGAGTTCCTATCCATGGAGAAAGAAATATTGTCTTCCTGTCAGGGAGTCCCTTATGGCCACAGATTTTGTCTGGTTGTTTGCGTGTTTTAAAAGCTAAGAATGTGGTTTCTGTTCTTTTCTTTTTCTTCATTTTGTGGTTTGTTTGTAGTGAAAGACAAGGCCAGAGAAATGAAAACAAAAGTCTGTGTAGATTCTTAGTCATCTCAGTTATGGTATTACAAGGAGCTCCAGTAGAAAGCAACTCCTTAATGATTCTTGAATACATTTCCCCTCTCATCCAAGATAATTTTGAAAGGCTATTTTTTAATGATGCCTGCTAACCATTACAAGTGAATGAGCGTAGCAACTTTACCAAAATGCCAGTTGAACAAAGCACTGGGTTTCGGGTTTTGCTTTAGTTTACACCTATTTTGTCATGTCCTCCACCTCTGGCTCCGCCTAGTGGCAGCCTTTCTTCCCCTTTTCTTCCTCTTCCTCCCTCCTTTCCTTTTTTCTATGTGTGTGTGTGCTGCTAATTATACTCGTGCAAACTTTTTTAATTGCCCTACTACAGTGCTGAGAGTCGCCTGTTAATTCAGTGTTAGTTATTATTAGTAACAAGAACTGACTGTCCAAGGCCAAACGTAGCCACATGTATCTTTGGGAGTGAAGGACGTGA